CAAACACAACCATTACTCACACAATCACAATCAGTTACTCAAGGAGCAAAACACAGACGTTCACCATTCTACTTCAATACTTGTGTACTGTACACTCATGTCCACGTCCACTGCATGCTCAAATAAGAACCCCACTATAGATGAAGAACCCATTCCTTTATCCATGCACCATGGAAGAAGAGAGGGGAGTGGAGACCATAAGGGGTAGGGTGAAAAAAAGGTAAATTTAAGCTCTTTTTCAATAGTATTTTCTTGAATTCTCCCGTCCTTCTCAAATCATCAGTGGAAAGTCAGAGGACACACACTTCCCACTTACCCTTTGAGGACGCGAGGGCTTTCTCAATTAATCTATCCTCGATTCCTCGCATCCTTTCTCCTCGCCTCCTCAATCGAATTGGAGGAAGTCCTTCCCCTCAGACCTTCTTCTCCAATGCATGTTGAGAAGTAGAGTAGAGAGCGAATGCAAGGAATTGATGAGCGATCAATTGAGAGAGCCGAGAGCTCAGTGGAATTTGAGGGCAAATGTGATTGGTTGGATAAAACAGCAGTCAGTGGGTGGAGCTTGTGACCAGTGACACGAGTGTAAAATAAAGCAGGGTTTCCCAAAACGTGCACCAGGGGAGGCACCAGGACCGGGTTGGCAAATCCTGAAATAAAGAATAAGCTTGTAGAGAGGCGGATTGAAGGTGGATGGAGGGTGTTAAACACGCCTGGTTTGAATCCCCATGAGTCTACTAACCTTTCTTTCCAACTTTCCTTTGTGTATTACCCAAGACTATTGATAAAGCTCTCTCTAATGGATCACTCTACTTAAGGCAAAATGCTCGGAGTGTTGGGTGAGTGGCAGAGGACGTAAGCCATGGGTTGACACACAAGGTACACTACATGACCAAAAGTATGCGGACACCTGCTCGTCAAACATCTCATTCAAAAATCATGGGCATTAACATGGAGTTGGTCCCCCCTTTGCTGCTATAACATCCTCCACTCTTCTGGGAAGGCTTTCCACATTGCTGCGGGGACTGATGTTGGGCGATTAGGCCTGGCTCGCAGTCGGCTTTCCAATCCATCCCAAAGGTGTTCGATGGGGTTGTGGTCAGGACTCTGTGCAGGCCAGTCAAGTTCTTCCACACCAATCTCGACAAACCATTTCTGTACGGACCTCGCTTTGTGCACGGGGGCATTGTAATGCTGAAACAGGAAAGGGCCTTCCCCAAACTGTTGCCACAAAGTTGGAAGCACAGAATTGTCTAGAATGTCATTGTATCCTGTAGCGCTAAGATTTACATTTTACGTTTACATTTTATTCATTTAGCAGACGCTCTTATCCAGAGAGACTTACAGTTAGTGAGTGCATAATTTTTTTTTCATTTTCATACTGGCCCCCCTTGTGGGAATCGAACCCACAACTCTGGCGTTGCAAGCGCCATGCTCTACCAACTGAGCTACACGGGACTGTAGCTTCACTGGAACTAAGGGGCCTAGACCGAACCATGAAAAACAGCCCCAGACCATTATTACTCCTCCACCACACTTTACAGTTGGCACTATGCATTTGGGCAGGTAGCGTTCTCCTGGCATCCGCCAAACCCAGATGAATCCGTCGGACTGCCAGATGGTGAAGCGTGATTCCTCACTCCAGAGAACGCGTTTCCAATGCTCCAGAGTCCAATGGCGGCGAGTTTTACACCACTCCAGCTGACGCTTGGCATTGCACATGGTAATCTTAGGCTTGTGTGTGGCTGCTCGGTCACGGAAACATTTCCTGACGAACAGTTCTGGACAAATACGGCGGTCCCGTTCTGTGAGCTTGTGTGGCCTACCACTTCGCAGCTGAGCCATTATTGCTCCTAGATGTTTCCACTTCACAATAACAACACTTACAGTTGACCAGGGCAGGGCAGAAATTTGACGAACTGACTTGTTGGAAAGGTGGCATCCTATGACGGAGCCACGTTGAAAGTCACTGAGCTCTTCAGTAAGGCCATTCTACTGCCAATGTTTGTCTATGGAGATTGCATGGCTGTGTGCTCGAATTTTATGCATCTGTCAGCAACGGGTGTGGCTGAAATAGCTTAATTCACTAATTTGAAGGGGTGTCCACATACTTTTGTATATATTGTGTATCTGGTTTAAATCCAGGTGTAGCAATTCACACGAAACAACCCAACTCCTAACCATAACAAATTGTGATTACTTGCCAATCACATTCTTTGCCTAAACAATTCCATTCATTTCTGCCCTCGAGGCAGAGCTGTAGTCACCAATTTGTGGAGGGCTCAGGAGGACATGAGGAATTGATGAAGGACTATTGAGAGCCCATCGAATGGATCATCACCACCCTCTACTAACCACCACAATCCAAACATGCAGGGTGCAGTCAAATTCATGTCATTACCTCTGCTTTGCGAGCTGCTTCACAAACTCACCTTTTCCACTAGAGGGCAGCACACAAAATTACAGTGGTAAACCTGGTATCAACAGGGCAGAACCGAGCTTAAAGCACAGGGCAGAATGGGTTTTGGCGAGATGGAATACAGCTACAGACCAAAAGTTGCATGTTCGAGTCGCGTCGGGGACAACTGTAGCATTTTAGCTAACCCTTTTCCTAACCTTAAAACAATTATCTTAACCTGCTACATTAATTATCCTAACCTGCTGCATTAGTTGTCCTAACCTGCTACGTAGTCACTTCTGTTTGTAGCTGTACTCCATCTAGCTAGCCAAAACCAGCAGAATGCAACAAAAGCTTTTGACTGGAGGAATACAACAAACATGAATAGATTTTTAGCAGCAAGCGGACAACATAAAAGCAGACGATGACACCGGATATGGTCAAAAAGTTCATTTTTTTAATAATTTCTTTACAGCAGGAAAAAAATACGTTATAGATTTTATATAAACTCATATTTATCGTCTCATTTTAAATACATAGGTATAATATAAATATTACAAAATACAACAGTATTTTGTTATTTTAAACCTTTTTAAGAATATAATTAAGTTCTATCCACCGTTTTTGTTTTTATAAAACATACATTTTGGTTGAAGCATTATTGCGAATTCAATTCCAACAAGGCTGGACTATGTGGTTATGCACAAAACAATGGTGTGACAGACAAAGATAGGGAAAAAGACATGTCTACAGATCCCTTATGGACCCAGTCTGAAACAACCTAGCCTTGACCACCAAAATGTCCGCTCTTCTTGCCCACTTCACGCAAGGTGAATAAGCCCCATCAATATGTACAGTATATATTACGGTCCTCTGGAAAGTCCTGACTACAGTATTAGGATGACACCTCTGCAAGACACACACCTCAAATACAAGGTGTATGTTGAAATGATGCCTTCCATTTACATTGTGTGTGTGTGTTAAATGTAGTACGCCTCAGTATTTTTTGCTTGGACATCACATTTTTCACAGAGCGCTCAGTAAGCTACAACATAGCATTATGCTGGAGAAAGCAGAGGCCTCACAATGCACTAAAACTCAGCTTCCCAAGAGTACCCACAGCAATTGTGTACACAATAGGGCTGATGGGAAATGTAGTGACTAAACTGTAAGAAAGGATCACATTACAGTTCATTCAAACTTAAGTTAACTATCAGACTAACCATGATCTTTTCTTTACCATAATGGCTATTTGTGCAAGCTTTAGAAAAGTGGTCCCAATGAACAGCTAAGACAAGTAATCTGACTCAGTCAATCAGGAAGTGAATTAACCCAATTGATTTCAGTTCGTTTTTATCTATGAGGCCACTGCACTCTTTCAGCGAGCACTGCAACAAAAATAAAAAGGTTCTTAATTTTCTTTATAAAAAGACAATAATAATTCTATGAGTTGATTACGTTTATACAAACATGAAGAATGTTAAGCCGACCAAACAAACAAAAAACAGCACTAACCACAAAAATAAGCTTTGAAATGATTCTGTACCGTCGGTTTACACATTTAAAAACATTGGGCATAGCAGTCGGTGTCCTGTGGCGTGTAGCAACACTACCCCTGGTGGTCACAGTCAGACATAGCAGACAAATAACAGTAGAAAGCATTGGTCAGTGAGTGGTCTTATAGTCAGTCAGTCATAGGAAGCACTAGTGATTTGTCTCATTTGCACAAAGTGGCTTCCATGAGAAAATGTCTTAACTCTTTCAGTGAATTTTAGAGTCTTAGTTACAAAATGTCCTCTTATTTGAAAGACATCGGGTGATATTGTCCTATTCTACCCTTTCTATCACCTCAAGGGTTACAACGGGGTGTTTACAGTTCTCTAAGTAGCTTTCCCTCACTGGAGACAGGACATAGAGACATTCTGTGCATCAGAGGGGTAAATACTAGGGCACTATGCTAAGGTGGTCATGTGGGGAAGCCCTTTAAAATGTCCATTATAGTGTTTAGTTTTACTGTTCATCTGTAGTGTTTTCACAAGTGTATTTCTCTGCTATTCATTCACATAGGTTCTCATGTCAGAAGGGACCTTTAAAGTTGGGTATTTTAGCTTATATAAATGCCTTTTCGGTGCCAATGGGCCAGAGGAGTACTTTTAACTTTAAAGGGCACATCTACTCAAAGGGTGCTGCTTTTAATATATGGTTTCATGTTGAGCCCAACCACATCAGCTGTTGTAAGTATACACAGTGTGCTCTACTGTGATGTGTGCAGTGTGGGTTGTGTATGTCATGTGTCATGTACACATGATGACATACAAGAGCAGCTGTGGGGTTGGAGGGAGCAGCTGACAGTCCTTCCTGTGTTGTGGGCCTCGCTCTCGCCCTGCATACCTCATGCCAGGGCAGTTGCATGTTTCCGTGTGTGTACGAGTCTGTTTTGCATGTTTTTTTCAACCAATTCACGGTGGATCATTTCAATCCTGGTTCTCTGAATGCTCGCATTAGGTGGTCAAATTCACGTCAGTGTCAGTCCAAGTGCGTATACGCACTCTCGCGCCCTTTCTCTCTCACACACTCACACGTAGCACACACAATCCCTCAGTATCTATGCAACCAGGTGGTAGTATAGTGTGTAGATCAGGGCCATGACCAGGCAGTAGAAGACCAGGAAGCCCTCCGAGACCAGTGAGAGGTGGGGGGGGTGGGGGGTGACTGTCTGGGGGGTATGAGTCTCACCCTTTGTCTCCCCCCTCTGCCTCCCCCTCTGCCTCATATTTCACGAGGGCCGCCACACAGCGCAGCACAGCAGGCAGCTTACAGAGAAACACGTCAGAGTACACACACACCTCCGTCTGAGGGAGAGAGAGGGAGGGGAGAGATGGAGAGGGGGAGGATGAAGAAAGAAAGGATGAGGGGAAGAGTAAAAAGGGCAGGAAGGTGGAGATGGAGAGAGCAAGGAAGATTGGGTTGGAAAGAAGATGGAGGAGAGGAAAGGTGAAAGAAAAAGCAGAGAAATGGCGAGAAAGAGATGAATGGAAGATGACGGAAAACAATGAGAGATGCAAAGGCAAACAGAATTAGCTTTAAGCACATAAGGACATTGCAGCATGAAGCTAACAAAAATAGTTTGTAAGCATTACTGGATCATTGCAAAGCTGCAAAATATACTATGAACATAAGTGATCAGGGGGACGGGATCATATTTTTTGATCTGATGAACCAAAGAAGTCGACAAAAGGAGGAAAGAATGGGTGAAAAAATTACGAGAAAGTTGTTCTTACCTCAGGGACCCCCAGCTTGCGACAGGCAGCGATGAAGTTCTCCACATTGAGACGACACTTGGCAGTGCTCAGCTTTGGCTAAAGGGGCAGAGAGACTGAACATCAGACTGAGTCGACTACACAGTCACAACACAAATACTAAACATAACACAGACACAACATTAAAACAAATACCATATTCTTTACTTTTTCTTTTACCGGTACTCAAATCATCCAAAGTCCCTGTCTACTCATTGACAAATATATCCTAAGCTGAACCGAATTTTACAATAAATGTCTGATTGGCTCACCACTGCTGGGGAGGGGATGTGGATGATTGACACTGCGCGGGGCCGCACGTGATTGGCCAGCTGGCAGAGGACCGTGCCATTGGACAATGCCTCCCCTAGATCCTCTGGTAGGGTGGTCTTCAACCTCGGCTCTAGAGTCTGATAGAGAGAGATGGAGGGAGGGAGAGAGAGAGCGCGAAGAGAGAAAGAGAGAGAGCGCGAAGAGAGAAAGAGAGAGAGAGTACAAGTGAATAGGAGAGACGTTAAAGAGAAAGAGAACTGTAGGGAAGGATATGATACAACATTTACCTTGCGTAGCTGTATGACATCTAGTCTCTCCTCTCCTCGCAACGCGGAGCGCAACTCAGTACGGCCTGCCTCCACCGGACTCTGTGTAGAGCCTGAGATGGACACCTGACTCTTGACGCTGCAGCGAGACGAGGTGCGGAATAGGAAACTGTTGGGTTTCTGGGTCAGGCCTGGAGGGGACGATGCCATGGGAGACGACGGACCGTCTGATAAACACACAAACACATTTTGTGTTGACTAACATCGGAGTTGTCAATACTTGGAGATTGAAGGTGGACTGTTGGTGTTTGTGTCAGTGTGTGTGTGTACCTGATCGGCTAACAGAGCACTGAACGGGCGGCGTATGAGACGATGACACCTGATTTGATGTGCACATCTGATCTGCACTCTGTTGGAGAGGGAAAGACCAGTTACATGATTTACTTCATGTGTGGATTATATAGCCTGAGTGCCAGCCTGTTTATGCTATGATGCCAACTCCCTGTCTCTCATTGTCAATGTTTGGCTTGACAATGACAGCAATGGAGTTAGCAAGAGCAAAAACAGATCTGGGACCAGGAGTAATAAAGTAAAAGAATAGTAGAAGATAAATTGAGTATATGCCAGGGTTCCCTAATAGGTAGCCCGCTGACCAAATTCGGCCCGCGGGTGATTTTATTTGGCCCCGCAAGTTCTGAGCAAAAAAATTAACAGGAAATCAGCTCAAAGTGATTTTAATTTAGGAAATCTATTCCCACGCATAATTAGAGAGGCATATGTGATTGTATCCCAAGGTTTGAAAGGATTCTGTTTTTGTCAAATACTGTACAGTATCTGTTTGGGCTTCTTGCAGTCAATTTGCAGCATACAAGTTATTTATAACTATGTTCTGGCCCCCCAGACTATCCACTCAAGAAAAAAATTGGCCCATGGCTGAATGTAATTGGGGACCCCTGGTATTTGCTGATGAAAGTTTTAAAGATTGGGAAAGGTGGCTGAGAGACTGACTGCACATCGTTGTCGGAAGCTGTTCTGGGAGTGGCGGTTGTCTGGTGAGCCAACACTAGAGGGAGACAGAGATAACACAATCAGAAAGGAAATACTCTAACCACAACAGTCAAGCGCTGTGCACATTTTACATTTTAGTCATTTAGAAGACGCTCTAGAGCGACTTACAGTTAGTGAGTGCATACATTTTCATACTTTTTCCATACTGGCCCCCCCGTGGGAATCGAACCCACAACCCTGGCGTTGCAAACGCCATGCTCTACCAACTGAGCTACACGGGACCACATTCATCTGCTCCTAATACATATAGCAGGGCCTTCGAAAACACAAATACATTTCACACATGCATCAATTCAGGCAGTACAATTTCTCACTCCCTGGACTAGCTTGTTTCATGTAGGATATCTTACCTCGAGCTACTTCCCGTTTGTGAGAGCGTTGCCACATGACTTCCTGTTTTGGCCGTCGTCGTCTTCAGTAAACTGGAAGATGATGTTTATAAAATCAGATATAAAAAGGAAAGGTGGTTGTTTCCATAGAAAGACCACTGTGATGTCTATCATCTGTGTTACGACTGCCATTTTGTTCACCTTTTGAATAAGTGAAATATTCACACACAGATAACCATAAGTCCTCCACCCCCCACATAAATTGACTAGCAGCTGGTTCTATCTAGATTAGATGGTAGAATAACCTAAAAAAAACGATTTCATCACAACTTTTTAAAGTACAGATGCGGTCAAAGATATTGGCACCCTTGCACTTTACAATGGAATGCAATTTTATTTTCAAAACTGGTTGAATGGCTATTTTCACCCTGTAGGCACTTGCAATTTACCACAGGTGACAAGAATCATTGCCTCCAACCAAATTAATTTGAATTTTGAATAATTTATTCCAGGCCAGGGAGTAGATCAGCTTTTATATTGTAGATAGATTGTGGCTTCTATCAATGTAATTTTCTACATAATTTACAATCCCCCATATATACAGCTGAAGTCAGACGTTTACATACACTTAGGTTGGAGTCATTAAAACTAGTTCTTCAACCACTCCACAAATGTCTTGTTAACAAACTATAGTTTTGGCAAGTCGGTTGGGACATCTACTTTGTGCATGACAAGTAATATTTCCAAAAATTGTTTACAGACAGATTTCACTTATAATTGACTGTATCACAATTCCAGTGGGTCAGAAGTTTACATTCACTAAGTTGACTGTGCCTTTAAACAGCTTGGAAAATTCCAGAAAATGATGTCATGGCTTTAGAAGCTTCTGAATTTACATCATTTGAGTCAATTGGAGGTGTACCTATGGATGTATTTCAAGGCCGACCTTCAAACTCAGTGCCTCTTTGCTTGACATCACGGGAAAATCAAAAGAAATCAGCCAAGACCTCAAAATTGTATACCTCCTCAAGTCTGGTTCATCCTTGGGAGTAATTTCCAAACGCCTGAAGGTACCACGTTCATCTGTACAAACAATACTACGCAAGTATAAACACCATGGGACCACGCAGCCATCATACCGCTCAGGAAGGAGACACGTTCTGTCTCCTAGAGTTGAACGTACTTTGGTGCAAAAAGTGCAAATCAATCCAGGAACAACAGCAAAGGAAATTGTGAAGATGCTGGAGGAAACAGGTACAAAAGTATCTATATCCACAGTAAAACGAGTCCTATATCGACATAACCTGAAAGGTCGCTAAGCAAGGAAGAAGCCACTGCTCCAAAACCGCCATAAAAAAGACAGACTACGGTTTGCAACTGCACATGGGGACAAAGATCGTACTTTTCAGAGAAATGTCCTCTGGTCTGATGAAACAAAAATAGAACTGTCTATCGTTATATGTTTGGAGGAAAAAGGGGGTTCCTTGCAAGCCGAAGAACACCATCCCAACCGTGAAGCACGGGGGTGGCAGCATCATGCTGTGGGGGTGCTTTGCTGCAGGAGGGACTGGTGCACTTCACAAAATAGATGGCATCATGAAGAAGGAAAATTATGTGGATATATTGAAGCAACATCTCAAGACATCAGTCAGGAAGTTAAAGCTTGGTCGCAAATGGGTCTTCCAAATGGACAATGACCCGAAGCATACTTCCGAAGTTGTGACAAAATGGCTTATGGGATGTTTTTAGCGGCAGGGATTCAGAGACCAGTCAGGATGGAGGGAAAGATCAACGGAGCAAAGTACAGAGATTCTTGATTAAAACCTGCTCCAGAGCACTCAGGACCTCAGACTGGGGCGAAGGTTCACCTTCCAAGAGGACAACGACCCTAAGCACACAGCCAAGACAACACTGGAGTGGCTTCGGGACAAGTCTCTGAATGTACTTGAGTAGGGGTGGGCGGTCACAAAATTGGCAAGCAAATAACTGTCGGTCTTAAGGTAATTGACCATTAATTAACATAAACACATTTAGCATGTCCTGGCTTCCACACATAGCCGTCAAGCCACTGATACAGACTTTTAGAACATCTACATTTTAGATGTAGTCTAATAAATAAAAAGTCTAATAAATCCATGTAATATAGCCTACACCTTCACAATAAATCCATGATTTATTTTAGACAGGTCTAAAGAAGCATGATATGAAGAACAGAATAGCATACTCTGAGTTGTCCTCATGTTAGGTCCTGATGTGGCTATGCCAAATGGCTGTGGGTTACACTAGTTCATTTAGCAGACAAGATTTGCTTAGAATTCTGTGGCATTATTTTATATTATTTTATAGTATGGAGAATACAATTGAACAAAGCTGAATAAAATAGAAAGGATTTTTTCTCCAAACGATATGAGGGAGTGTGCAGATGCAGCTATTCTGTGTTGAGAGGTTAACAAAGAAATAGGTACTCCTATATGCTTAATTTAGAGTTATTAATGTAACTTTAGTTATTCTACAAGCGTTGGGCTACATGTTTTGATTTCTAATACATTGTAAGGCTGCATGATGCGACTAATGATGATTTGAAAAAAGTCGCTTGACAGGCATGAACTCTGCTTGCTTTGTACACACTTCATCAGTCTCTCATTCAGAATTTGACAAGCAGTTGATAATGCCTCGAATTTCACTGCGGCATCGCCTTTTTATGGCCGTAATGCACCATTAAAAAATCCATGCCTTTTGTGGCCAGTGGCCGCTGTGCCCTTGGTCTGGAGTGCTGCGTTGTGCCCGTCTCCCTGAGTGCTGTGTGCTCCGAAGCACCTCTCACTCACATGGCTCTCCATCACGTGATCGGGTCTTTCTCATAAGCTACAATTGAAGACATACACTTAGGGGACGCAACTGCGCTCGTCCTTATCCAATTTCGAGGTGTATATTGAAGATATTGGAAGAACTGTCCACATTTACTTTTTGTCAAGCTGAGTAGGCCTAATGAATAGCAAAAGCACTAGCCTATGTCAATCTACTATCCCCCATAGTACAAAAGTTGACCAATTCTATTCTGTGCGAGAAATCAATATTCCAAACATAGTCTGGGACAGTTGTGGGATGCGATAGATCCCAAATTAATACAACCACTAATATCAAAAAACCTTTTTTACACAATGTGGCTGACGCAACAGATCAGAACGTTTAGCTTAAAGTGTTGATAAACTATTAGGCTATTTCTTCACATTCTAAGTGCAGCAATGCACACACAGCAGTAGGCTATAAGCAAAAATGTTCCATTAGCGGGAAAACAACATTATCAAAAGTGACCGCAAATGCGATTATGCATGTAATGCTTTTATTATAAAGGTGCATTTTTATGGTGAAACGTATCTTCCTCAAACTGGAAACTCATGCGCTGCTTATGTATGCCAGTTAGGCTCTACACCCCTTGTAAAGTTTCTCATTCATGTGCTTAAGTTATTTGGCCACTTTAGTTATGATACAAACCTTATCAAAACATATAGGCCTATGGGCTAGGCTACATTAAAAAAAAGCAGCGTTTCTTGCATTATGCTGGGCATCATTCACAAGTGATAATATATAATTCACAAGTGATAGGCTAATACTGTCACCCATCACACTATTCTTGATTTAATCTTGTCTTTACATATATACACACACACACACACACACACACACACACACACACATATATATATACACACATACATACATATACACACACATACACACATACATACATACATACATATGTGTAAAATTTGTTTTGATTTAGAATGGCCCATTATCATGCACCTGTCTCGAATCAGGGGCAAGGGAAAAAATACATGTAATCTATGCACTTAAATAGCGAACGGAGGACGCTTTTCCCGTGGTTCATCTTCATGCCAGCCAGGTAGGCTATACTCCTGTTGTAAAGATAAGCAATGTACTTAATATTAGGAAAGTTGAGAAATAAATATAGTAGGCCATCACTCAATTGCATTGCCTATAGAAATGTTGAGCAACATGAGCTCATGGGCTCTCATGAAGTGTTTGATTTTCGATTACATTTGCTTTGATGTCAGAATGATTAGAGGGACAATAGAGTGCTGAGTACCAGGCAGTTAGCAAGTTTGGTAGGCTACTAATGACCATCAGCAGCATCAGAGCTTGGAGAAGCCTAATTACCGTGACTAAACGGTCACATGGAATTTGACTGCGTTCATGACTCGTGCCCACCGGTGTGGCAGTAATACGGTCACCACAACGGCCCTATCCTTGAGTGGCCCAGCCAGAGCCCGGACTTGAACCCAATCGAACATCTCTGTAAGTGGTAGAGCCGGCGCTTGTAACGCAGGTATGGGTTCATACGGACCACCCAACCCAATTTGATGCAAGCAGAGACCGGACTTGAAAATAACATATCTTTAGAGAGACCTGAAAATAGCGTGCAGCGACGCTCCCCATCAAACTGGACAGAGCTTGAGAGGATCTGACAGAGAAGAATGGGAGAAACTCCCCAATACAGGTTGCAAAGCTTTGTTAGCGTTATACCCAAGAAGACTCGAGGGCTGTGTAATCGCATGCAAAGGTGCTTCAACAAAGTACTGAGTAAATGGTCTGAATGTGATCGTTTTTATATATATACATTTGCAAAACTGTCTAAAAACCTGTTTTTGCTTGGTCATTATGGGCTAGTGTGTAGATTAACGAGAGAAAAAAAAAACTATTTAATCAATTTTAGAATTAGGCTGTAACGTAACAAAATGTGGAAAAAGTAAAGGGGTCTGAACACTTTCCGAATGCAATGTAAACACCTTTGCTAAGATTATTATAATATTATTGATCGATTGACTATGACTTATCAAATCACCCAGCAGTGCTATTTGCAGAGTTAGCTCCAAGTAAATGTTGCATTTTTTCACCCATTTCTGAACTTGAGACCAGAAACAAGCTACATATGGGCAGTACCAAAAACAAGTGATCTAATGATTCTGTCTCTTCGCAGCAAAATATGCAGAGCTGGGATGGTTGTATCCCTTGTATATAGAACATTATATTTGTTGCAAGAATTTTGTATATCATTTAAATTGAAAAACTCTACATTTTGAATCCGAAGTCATTTTGTGTATCAGTTCATAAACCATGTGCCATGGAATCAGTACATCGAAATCTCCTCCCATCTATTGTGCAACCTATATGGTGCAGCTGTCAATTTTTCGGTCCTTAAATTAAACTGGTATACTTTTTTTATTTACTCCAATTTTCTTTAGCCAATTTTGGTCTTTAATGCAGGGCTGACCGAAAAGTTCCTTACCTTCTCCCCATTCAACTTGGCTCCTCCATTTTTGCAGTAATGCTGCAATCAGTTGGTTGTATTTTGGATAGAGCAGACATGTTCATATATTTTTGTTAAATGCATGTGTGACACAACTCCACCAGTACTATTTATTATATAATTTACAAAGATTATGGCGTAAAAAAAATAAAATAATCAATTCGTATATTTGAGTTTAACCATAATATTTGTTCTGTTTTTTTCTGGTCGGTTAAACTGAAATTACAACCCGCTTTCTATTGCTTGTTATAAAAATCGTAATATTTTGGAGATGATTTAAAATTTTAAAATAACCGAAAGTGAGAGGTTGTAATCTGAATAAAGGGAAAAAGGCCATTCTTGAACATGGGTTGAGCCATTCTTATTAATCTGCTAGAGAACCAGTTCAGATTTAAGTATAGTTTTTGTATGACTGAAGCCTTTAGTGAGAGGTCCAATGATTTAATATTGAATCATTATATAAATAGGCCCATTTAAATTTTGTCTGGCTTGCCGTTCCAAATAAAGTAGAATATTTTTGGCTCATATAATTTTAAAAACAAGTCGTTAGGTGTAGGCAGGGCCATAAGTAAATAGGTCAACTGGAATATGACTAAAGAGTTAAATCAGGGTGATTTTTCCACAAATAGACAGGTGTTGTCCATTCCATGGTAGCAAAATATTATCTAATTTGGAATAACATTCTATTAAAATGTATTGTAGTGAAATAAGTTCTTTCTTTCGTGATATGAATACAGAGTATGTCCACTTCACCGTTGGACCATTTTATTGGTAAACTACACAGTGATGTAAAAGTTATATTTTTTAGAGATCCAATACGTCATATGGTGCACTTCTAATTCGGTTTTAATCCAGAAAGGTTAGAAAAATTATCTTGATCCTCTATGAGGCTGTGCAGGCATCCGAATTGCAGATTTAAAAGAAAACATGAATTGTCACAGCGTACAATGACACCTTTGTTTTTAAGCCCTCTATTTCTATCCAAGCCATTTTTTTTACTTTAAAGTGAAAATCTAAATTTCAGTTTTGATTTTCATATTTTCTTTGTCATGTGCAGTTCTAAGTCAAACAAATCCACGTGTAAACACCAAAAGTTCTCAATTTCAACTTATTTGAAAATAAATATGGAAATCATTAAAGGGTGCCGATATATTTAACTGCAACTGTATATGGGTTTGTGTGCAGCCTCAAACCTTCCATTGTACAAAGGATGATAAAACTCTCAGTCGCTCCCTCTACTAACCCGTTGTCTCTGGCCCGGTGGTCTCTCTTCTGCTGCTGGGCCCTCTCTCTCTCTTGCCAGATGAGCAGGGTGCCTGGTCTCCTCCTCTCCTCCAGGGTGGGACTGGAGGGGGGCAGGGGCCTACCTCCACAGCCCCCTACCTCCACACTGATACTGGACCTAGGGGGTGGGGGCGGAGAGAGAGCGCGAGAGCAAGAGATGGAGATAGAGGGAGAGCGAGGGAGAGAAAAAGGAAAAAAGGGAGAGTGATGAGTGATAAAAATATTGGTCTATGTGTTACAGAGTGGACTGATGGCAAACACCAAACTTTGTATGATGATGTCATATTTTGTTATGCGTCAACATAGCCTCCTATTGAGTTCAAAACTGGCAAATGGTGGCTGTTGGTTGCAGTGGCTTTATGTCAGACAATAGTGTCAATGTCCTGCTAGCAGAAGCTTCTCACAGTCACAGGACTGCAACCTGTGACTCTTCAATCCACACTTTAACCACTGCAGCCAACAACCATAGGCAAACAGTTGGACCCCTCTGAATACAGCCTAAGACTACAATGTAAATCACTCATCCCCAGTCACCAAAATGAACACAAACTGTAGAGAAAGTAAGTAAGCAGAATTGTTGCGATTGCTCTTTATAAGCCTAGCAGTAGTAAGTGAATGATTTCCTCTGGTTGTGTGTGTGTGTGTGTGTGTGTGTTCCCTTGGTTAAGCCAGTCAGTCAGTGAGTGGTGTAAGTAATGGGAACCGCAGTCTGTTGACATTTCACAGCTCCTCAAACACTCCCTGAGAGGGTGACCTTGCAAAACAAGGCAGCGAGAGAAAAACAGAGTATCTATCCTTTCCACTCTGAAAGACTGACTGGTGGTTGCTGTGTATGAGACTGTGTACACAAAGCCAGCCAGTCAAACTGTTGGATCCACACTGAAACTGTCACAGGAACAGAGAAGTCGAAACTCATTGGCACTGACACACAAACACACCACAATCACACAACCTTGTGGGAACATGGCTGAGGGTGCATTTTCAATGGTCACGCGACAATATGAGTGTTGAGTTGTGTGTGTGTGTGTGTGTGTGTGTGTGTGTGTGTGACTCACCTGCTTATAGAAGTGTCTTGTGTTTGGGGAGGTGGTGAGGACTTCTTGGTCTTCTCCTGAGAAAAACACCATGTCGCTGTTAGATACCCATCTACTCGCTTTAAGACATTTATAACATGTTTATAATATTTAATAAAGCGTTTAAAAGCATTTATAAAAGGCGTCCTCCTAACCTGTGGGGGTGCTGTGAGCGGGGGAGTGGGATGATTCGTCCTGCACTCCTCTTCTTCCTCCTCGGTGACACTGCAGTCTATGGAAACCACCTGCTCTGCCTCCCCATTCACTGTGAAAACAAAGAAAAGAGGGGGAGGGAGGCAGGAGAGGGGGGGGGGGGGAGGGGGAGGATGAAAGATATTATAGACAGTAAAATAACATTAAGGAATGTCTGGGAGGGTATATAGACAGTATAGCCTTTATTAGAGGTCGGAGAGGAGGATATTAAGAAGATTTTGGAAAACAGAGTGCTGTCTGTCTGAAAATAAAATCCTGTTTTGTTACAATAAGCTTCTTTCTCCCTTTCTTTCCTCAGTGAGTGGGATAATATCAAATATCTCATGGTTTTGGGAGTGTATCAATACTGTGCATCTTTATTAGGGGATTGAGTATATGAAATATATGGCATCACAAGGAGACCAGTCTGAAAGATAAATCCCATAATTGACTCCTATGAGCTTCTCATTCTCCCCTCAGAGTATGTTTCTTTCCCCTAATGGTTTTATGGCTTGTTTCCCAGAAACATATTTCAATGGAGAATCTCCAGTGAGCATGCTTTTTAGTCCAGGAGTAGGCTTAATCTGTGTCTGAGAAAGCAGCCTATAATGTCTGATGGTTTTAGGGGGTTAGAGCTTGGCTGGAACCAAAGCCTGATCACCATGTAGCTCTGCAGGACCAGGGTGTGTAACTGACTGATGTCTTAACGTGTGACGGTTTTAAGTAGCTGGAGCCCGCTCCTCACCCCTGTTTGGGGTCTCGGTGAGGGGAGAGTCCTCCTCAGCCTCCACCTCTTCCTCCAGGTTCCTCTGGTCTCTGGTGAGCTCAGCCATGCGTAGGGACCGCTCTGAGAAGTCATCTGCAGACTGGACACACAGATATGGAGGGAGAGAGTGAGACACACAGTACACAACAGGTGAAGAGGGAGAGAGTGAGACATGTAGGTCTGAGACATTTGACCTAAGGTTAAAAACATCTGTGTAGACCTCTAACTGTTATGACTGTTCGGGCCATTATGATGGCCTCACAATAATAGACACAATATAAATTGCAAGGTATTAACACCACAGACTCTCGCTCTCTCAGATCCCTGTTGTCTCACCTCATTCCCAGACCATCTCTTGCTCCCACTGTCCACACTGTTGAAGCCAGAGTCCAGACCAGAGAATAGCTCCTGGTCCGACAGACTGCAGGGAGACACGGAAGATAGGACACGCATCAGAACACACACTGTATATCAGACACACACACACATAAGTACAGACACACACTGAACACTTTCCTAATATTGAGTTGCACCCCCCCTCTTTTCCCCTCAGAACAGCCTCAATTGGTCGAGGCATTGACTCTACAAGCTGTCGGAAGCGTTCCACAGGGATGCTGGTCCATGTTGACTCCAATGCTTCCCACAGCTGTGTCAAGTTGGCTGGATGTCCTTTGGGTGGTGAACCATTTTTGATAAACACGGGAAACTGTTAAAAACAGTTGCAAAACTCAGCAGCGTTGAAGTTCTTGACACACTGAAACCGGTGCGGCTGGCACCTACTACCATACCCCATTCAAAGGCACTTAAATATTTTGTCTTGCCCATTCACCCATGTCTCAATTGTCTTTAGGCTTAAAAATCCTTCTTTAACCTGTCTCCTCCCCTTCATCTACACTGATTGAAGTGTAGTAACATCAATAAGGGATCATAGCTTTAACCTGGATTCACCTGGTCTGTATACACACATATCAGACATGCACACACCAGTACACAGTACACACCCACACACCAGTACACACACACACACACACACACACACCAGTACACACACACACACAACCACCAGTACACACACACACGCACCAGTACACACACACACACACACACACCCCACAACAGTACACACACACACCCCACAACAGTACACACACACACCCCAGTACACACACACACGCCCGTACACACACGCCAGTACACGAGTGGCGCAGTGGTCTAAGGCACTGCATCGCAGTGCTAGCTGTGCCACTAGAGATCCTGGTTCGAATCCAGGCTCTGTCGTAGCCGGCCGCGACCGGGAGACACATAAGGCGGCGCGCACAATTGGCCCAGCGTCGTCCAGGGTAGGGGAGGGAATGGTCGGCAGGGATGTAGCTCAGTTGGTAGAGCATGGCGTTTGCAACGCCAGGGTTGTGGGATCGATAAAATAATGTATGCACTAACTGTAAGTCGCTCTGGATAAGAGCGTCTGCTAAATGACTAAAATGTAAATGTACACACACACACACACACACCAGTACACACACACTCACACAAACACACACACCAGTACACACAAACACCAGTACACACACACACACACACCAGTACACACACACACCCACACACATCAGTACAAACACACATACATCAGTACACACACATACATACATCAGTACACACAAATACATCAGTACACACACATACGGTGGGGAGAACAAGTATTTGATACACTGCCGATTTTGCAGGTTTTCCTACTTACAAAGCATGTAGAGGTCTGTAATTTTTATCATAGGTACACATCAACTGTGAGAGACGGAATCTAAAACAGAAATCCAGAAAATCACATTGTATGATTTTTAAGTAATTAATTTGCATTTTATTGCATGACATTAGTATTTGATACTTCATAAAAGCAGAACTTAATATTTGGTACAGAAACCTTTGTTTGCAATTACAGAGATCATACGTTTCCTGTAGGTCTTGACCAGGTTTGCACACACTGCAGCAGGGATTTTGGCCCACTCCTCCATACAGACCTTCTCCAGATTCTTCAGGTTTCGGGGCTGTCACTGGGCAATACAGACTTTCAGCTTCCTCCAAAGATTTTCTATTGGGTTCAGGTCTGGAGACTGGCTAGGCCACTCCAGGACCTTGAGATGCTTCTTACGGAGCCACTCCTTAGTTGCCCTGGCTTTGTGTTTCCGGTCGTTGTCATGCTGGAAGACCCAGCCACGACCCATCTTCAATGCTCTTACTGAGGGAAGGAGGTTGTTGGCCAAGCTCTATTTTTGTCTCATCAGACCACATGACCTTCTCCCATTCCTCCTCTGGATCATCCAAATGGTCATTGGCAAACTTCAGACGGGCCTGGACATGCGCTGGCTTGAGCAGGGGGACCTTGCGTGCGCTGCAGGATTTTAATCCATGACGGCGTAGTGTGTTACTAATGGTTTTCTTTGAGACTGCGGTCCCAGCTCTCTTCAGGTCATTGACCAGGTCCTGCCGTGTAGTTCTGGGCTGATCCCTCACCTTCCTCATGATCATTGATGCCCCACGAGGTGAGATCTTGCATGGAGCACCAGACCGAGGGTGATTGACCGTCATCTTGAACTTCTTCCATTTTCTAATAATTGCGCCAACAGTTGTTGCCTTCTCACCAAGCTGCTTGCCTATTGTCCTGTAGCCCATCCCAGCCTTGTGCAGGTCTACAATTTTATCCCTGCTGTCCTTACACAGCTCTCTGGTCTTGGCCATTGTGGAGAGGTTGGAGTCTGTTTGATTGAGTGTGTGGACAGGTGTCTTTTATACAGGTAACGAGTTCAAACAGGTGCAGTTAATACAGGTAATGAGTGGAGAACAGGAGGGCTTTCTAAAGAAAAACTAACAGGTCTGAGAGCTGGAATTATTACTTGTTGGTAGGTGATCAAATACTTATGTCATGCAATAAAATGCAAATTAATTACTTAAAAATCATACAATGTGATTTTCTGGATTTTTGTTTTAGATTCCGTCTCTCACAGTTGAAGTGTACCTATGATAAAAACTACAGACCTCTACATGCTTTGTAAGTAGGAAAACCTGCAAAATCGGCAGTGTATCAAATAATTGTTCTCCCCACTGTACATCAGTACACACACATACATCAGTACACACACACACACAACACTACACACATCAGTACACACACACACCAGATATTCACAGTACACCCATCAGTATAAACACACACACACACTTGAGAAAACACCCAAGGTTTTTGCGCTCTGCTGCACTCTATAGTACACCGACTCTTCTTCAAGACAAGTTTTTCCTAGAGTCCCTAGTTCCCAACAGTAAGCACATTGATTTCTTCAAGTTGTTTCTCTTTTTGTCCCTTACCCTACTTTCCGTCTTTTTTCTTCTATTGGCTTACTAGCTGTTGATGCCAGTATATGTTTTAGTACTCACTCCAAGTCCACCTGGTTTTTCTTTCTCTTGTCCCTTACTGACCTGTTATTCATTCACTTTATCTTAATAATACATTTCCCCCCAACTGGGCCAGCCCCCTAGCAATTTGAATTCCAGCCAATGAAATTCAGCCCCTCACCATTTGAGTGACAGCTAGCAAGATGCACACACAACAGAGTGAAAGCAATGACGTGGTGCACATATCTGCACATATATGACGTAGCACGCAATTTTTGGGGACCACTTTTGGCTCGTTAGCACTACTTTCAGAACTATTGGTAAAAAAGTATACAAAAGTACAGGAGAATCTAAGTATTTGATCCCCTGCTGATTTTGTACGTTTGCCCACTGACAAAGAAAGTATCAGTCTATAATTTTAATGGTAGGTTTATTTGAACAGTGAGAGACAGAATAACAACAAAAATATCCAGAAAAACGCATGTCAAAAATGTTATAAATTGATTTGCATTTTATTGAGGGAAATAAGTATGAGACCCCCTCTCAATCAGAAAGATTTCTGGCTCCCAGTTGTCTTTTATACAGGTAACGAGCTGAGATTAGGAGCACACTCTTAAAGGGAGTGCTCCTAATCTCAGCTTGTTACCTGTACAAAAGACACCTGTCCACAGAAGCAATCAATCAGATTTCAAACTCTCCACCATGGCCAAGACCAAAGAGCTCTCCAAGTAACACACTACGCCGTGATGTACTGAAATCCTGCAGCGCCCGCAAGGTCCCCCTGCTCAAGAAAGCACATATACAGGCCCGTCTGAAGTTTGCCAATGAACATCTGAATGATTCAGAGGAGAACTGGGTGAAAGTGTTGGCATCAACTCAACTCGCCGTGTTTGGAGGAGGAGGAGGAATGCTGCCTATGACCCCAAGAACACCATCCCCACCATCAAACATGGAGGTGGAAACATTATGCTTTGGGGGTGTTTTTCTGCTAAGGGGACAGGACAACTTCACCGCATCAAAGGGACGATGGATGGGGCCATGTACCGTCAAATCTTGGGTGATAACCTCCTCCCTCAGCCAGGGCATTGAAAATGGGCCGTGGATGGGTATTCCAGCATGAAAATGACCCAAAACACACGTCCAAGGCAACAAAGGAGTGGCACAAGAAGAAGCACATTAAGGTCCTGGAGTGGCCTAGCCAGTCTCCAGACCTTAATCCCATAGAAAATATGTGGAGGGAGCTGAAGGTTCGAGTTGCCAAACGTCAGCCTCGAAACCGTAATGACATGGAGAAGATCTGCAAAGAGGAGTGGAACAAAATCCCTCCTGAGATGTGTGCAAACCTGGTGGCCAACTACAAGAAACGTCTGACCTCTGATTGCCAACAAGGGTTTTGCCACCAAGTACTAAGTCATGTTTTGCAGAGGGGTCAAATACTTATTTCCCTCATTAAAATGCAAATCAATTTATAACATTTTTGACATGCGTTTTTCTGGATTTTGTTGTTGTTATTCTGTCTCTCACTGTTCAAATAAACCTACCATTAAAATTATAGACTGATCATGTCTTTGTCAGTGGGCAAACGTACAAAATCAGCAGGGGATTAAATCCCTTTTTCCCCTCACTGTATCCTCCCATCCTCTCCCACTCGTCTCTCCCCTCCCCCTTAATCATCTCTTATCTTATAATGCTAATAAGATTAAGAAATTAAGCCATTTAGATAATCTCTCCCCAAATACCCCCCTCCCTCCCTCCCCAAATATCTCCCTCCCTCCCTCCATCTCACCAGCTGTTGAACCCGGTGGGTCTCAGGGCTCTCTCCAGCTCCTCCTGGTTCCTCTTGCAGGCCTCGATGTTGAGGAACTTGAAGATGTGGTACTTCCCCTTGGAGCAGACCTGGGCAGGAGGCTGCTGCAAGGGGTTGTTGTCCAATACAATGGTCTGGAGTTGGCGCAGGTGGCGGTAGCACACGGGCACGTGGGAGATGTGGTTACAGGAAACATCTAACCGGACCAGGGGCAACTCGGACAACTCTGAGAAGGGGGAGGGGGTTAGGTGTAGTTTAGTATCGAGCAGATATCTAATAATCATAGAAATTAGCATATCAAGGGAAATAAAATACACTTTTGTCAGTATCAATTCAAATCAATGCATGAAATTTAAAAAATTTCTGTTTAATTAAATTCAAACAAGGCCTCGATCATCATTTCTCAAACCGCGTTGACTCATATGAAGGAGGTGCTACAGTGGTGGTGGTATCCTACGTTTTCTTGCATTGAGAGCCTGTAGTCAATAGGTTGGAGTTTTAAGGAGAGCTCAGGATTGGAGGATGGGGGGGTGCTGTGAGGCCAGAGCTATACTGGTATCTTACAGGGCATACCGTCACAGGCAGCCAGGTTGTTTTGCTGTGCAATTTCAGTGCTATGTTGTTTAATATTACTGTATGGTTTGTTTGGGCTAAAGCTTCTGGTAGTGGTACTTAGGCCTATACTTCTGGGGTTGTCTGGTGTGTTTAACAACAGAGTTAAAGAGTGGTTAAGCGTTAGAGAGGAGTCAGTGGTGGAAGTAGTGCGTCAACAACTAGGTTAGGAATTTTATTTTTTATTTTAACCTTTATTTAACCAGGTAAGCCAGTTGAGAACAAGTTCTCATTTACAACTGCGACCTGGCCAAGATAAAGCAAAGCAGTGCGATAAAAACAACAACAGAGTTACATATGGGGTAAAAGGGTGGACTTATAGGAAAAAAGGGGTGACAGAGTTTTCGGAGGCATTATAGAAGACTCGGAAAGTCAAGGGTCCAACTCTAGGGTCAACAACAACATTAGGTACCGAGTAGCCCAATTCTGAGAAAATAAGTTAAAAGGGTCAGACGTTCACATTTTAAGATTTGTTTTAAGAAGATTAGTAAATATACGTGTCAGTAAATGTATTTAGGCAAAGGGGACTTTAAAGGTTTCAGAGAAAGACTACCATTTAGCTTGGAGAACTATCAAGGACATGGATGAGGTCTGTGTAGGGTTAGTGTATACAGTGTGTAAAGTATAGTGTCATGAAGTTGGAGCCACGATGGTATGCTTACTGTATGTAAGGGGTCAGAGACTGGTAGTGAGAGACTTAGTGGGGAGGGGGTGGATAGTGGTACAGTGAGGGAAAAAAGTATTTGATCCCCTGCTGATTTTGTACATTTGCCCACTGACAAAGAAATGATCAGTCTATAATTTTAATGGTAGGTTTATTTGAACAGTGAGAGACAGAAAAACAACAAAATAATCCAGAAAAACGCATGTCAAAAATGTTACAAATTGATTTGCATTTTAATGAGGGAAATAAGTATTTGACCCCCTCTCAATCAAAGATTTCTGGCTCCCAGGTGTCTTTTATAAAGGTAACGAGCTGAGATTAGGCGCACACTCTTAAAGGGAGTGCTCCTATTCTCAGTTTGTTACCTGTATAAAAGACACCTGTCCACAGAAGCAATCAATCAGATTCCAAACTCTCCATCATGGCCAAGACCAAAGAGCTCTCCAAGGATGTCAGGGACAAGATTGTAGACCTACACAAGGCTGGAATGGGCTACAAGACCATCGCCAAGCAGCTTGGTGAGAAGGTGACAACAGTTGGTGCGATTATTCGCAAATGGAAGAAACACAAAAGAACTGTCAATCTCCCTCGGCCTGGGGCTCCATGCAAGATCTCACCTCGTGGAGTTGCAATGATCATGAGAACGGTGAGGAATCAGCCCAGAACTACACGGGAGGATCTCGTCAATGATCTCAAGGCAGCTGGGACCATAGTCACCAAGAAAACAATTGGTAACACACTACACGTGAAGGACTGAAATCATGCAGCGCCCGCAAGGTCCCCCTGCTCAAGAAAGCACATATACAGGCCCGTCTGAGGTTTGCCAATGAACATCTGAATGATTCAGAGGAGAACTGGGTGAAAGTGTTGTGGTCAGATGAGACCAAAATAGAGCTCTTTGGCATCAACTCAACTCGCCGTGTTTGGAGAAGGAGGAATGCTGCCTATGACCCCAAGAACACCATCCCCACCGTCAAACATGGAGGTGGAAACATTATGCTTTGGGGGTGTTTTTCTGCTAAGGGGACAGGACAACTTCACTGCATCAAAGGGACGATGGACGGGGCCATGTACCATCAAATATTGGGTGAGAACCTCCTTCCCTCAGCCAGGGCATTGAAAATGGGTTGTGGATGGGTATTCCAGCATGACAATGACCCAAAACACACGGCCAAGGCAACAAAGGAGTGGCTCTAGAAGAAGCACATTAAGGTCCTGGAGTGGCCTAGCCAGTCTCCAGACCTTAATCCCATAGAAAATATGTGGAGGGAGCTGAAGGTTCGAGTTGCCAAACGTCAGTCTCAAAACCTTAATGACTTGGAGAAGATCTGCAAAGAGGAGTGGGACAAAATCCCTCCTGAGATGTGTGCAAACCTGGTGGCCAACTACAAGAAACGTCTGACCTCTGTGATTGCCAACAAGGGTTTTGCCACCAAGTACTAAGTCATGTTTTGCAGAGGGGTAAAATACTTATTTCCCTCATTAAAATGCAAATCAATTTAGAACATTTTTGACATGCGTTTTTCTGGATTTTTTTGTTGTTATTCTGTCTCTCACTGTTCAAATAAACCTACCATTTAAATTATAGACTGATCATGTCTTTGTCAGTGGTGAAACGTACAGAATCAGCAGGGTATCAAATACTTTTTTTTCCCTCACTGTATATAGGCCAGGGAACTTTATTTTGGGGGGTTTCAGGGAGACACTGAAGCACGGCGGTGGGGTGTATAGGGTGTATGAAGGGGTTAAAGGTCAGGTGTGTGTGTCTTACCCTCGGGCAGCGTGGTGAGCCGATTCCTTCTCAGGTTGAGGTCTCTCAGGCACTCCAGCTGACCCAGCTCCACCGGCAGACACTGCAGATCATTACAACTCACATCCTACAGGAGAGGGGAAACCAAATCATCAAAAAGTGTAACTGCAACCCAGGCCTACACCCCAAAGACAAAGAACAAGCGAGGGGTGGGGGGGGGGGGGGGGGGGTGAAGAAGCGAGAATGAGGAAAAAAGGGCTAAGTCAGAAAGGAGACACAGTATGACAGAAATGCAGGTGTGAGAGGAAGAGTGAGACAGGACTGTGAGAGCCAGCCAGAGAGGGCAGAGAAATAAAAAATGTAGAGCAGGAGAGTGTGAAGAGAGGAACAGATAGAGTACCTAAAGTAAACATGACCAGAGTTAAAGACTGCAAGAGATATAGCTAGAGCAAAGATAGCAAAACGGAGAATGAGACATAGTGAGAGATACCTAGAGAAAAAGAGAGAGAGAGAGAGAGATCAGAGAGCCCTGTGTGGTGGTGAGTAGTGGGTAACCTGAGGCATGGGTATGTGTTACTACGTACCAGCTGTCGGAGGTGTGTGAGGGTGTGTATGGAGGCGGGCAGGGCCGACAGCTTGTTGTTGCTGACGATCAGGACTCGCAGGAGGGGGAGCTGACACACCGAGGGGGGCAGGTTGGAGATAAGGTTACGGCTGCAAGGACGGACACACACAGAACAATGATGAAAAGTCATACACGCACAAGCAGGCAACTGAACGGGTGTAACGACTTGAAAAGGTGTTTGTGTGTGTGTATGCGACCGGTGTGTGTGTGTTACCTGAGGTTAAGGTAGGTGAGAGCCTGTAGGTGACAGAGAATGGGGGTGAGGGAGCGAATACAGTTGTGGTACAGGACGAGCGTCTCCAAGGAGATGAACTGGCACAGCTCCTCTGGCAGCTCACACAGACGGTTCTTAGACAGGTCTGAAACAAGAAGGACCAATCACAGTCAATAATCCAGATATATTGGACAACGACAACCACTCACATTCAATAATATTGCCATGAGAAACAAAAATAATCAATAACCATCAAATCAAATCAAATCAAATTTTATTGGTCACATGCGCCGAATACAACAGGTGCAGACATTACAGTGAAATGCTTACTTACAGCCCTTAACCAACAGTGCATTTATTTTAAACAAAAAAGTAAGAATAAAACAACAACAAAAAAGTGTTGAGAAAAAAAGAGCAGAAGTAAAAAATAAAGTGACAGTAGGGAGGCTATATATACAATAGAATAAAGTGACAGTAGGGAGGCTATATATACAGGGGGGTACCGTTGCATAGTCAGTGTGCGGGGGCACCGGCTAGTTGAGGTAGTTGAGGTAATATGTACATGTGGGTAGAGTTAAAGTGACTATGCATAAATAATTAACAGAGTAGCAGCAGCGTAAAAAGGATGGGGTGGGGGGGCAGTGCAAATAGTCCGGGTAGCCATGATTAGCTGTTCAGGAGTCTTATGGCTTGGGGGTAGAAGCTGTTGAGAAGTCTTTTGGACCTAGACTTGGCACTCCGGTACCGCTTGCCGTGCGGTAGCAGAGAGAACAGTCTATGACTAGGGTGACTGGAGTCTTTGACAATTTTGAGGGCCTTCCTCTGACACCGCCTGGTATAGAGGTCCTGGATGGCAGGGAGCTTCAATGATACCGAAATAAGACAAATAGAACGAATCACAGACAATCATTATAAAGCCATGAGAAACAAAAAGGACCTATCACAATCAATGATACTGATGAGACAAAAAAGGACCTATTACAATGACACAGGAAAGGGGAAAAGGAATCACACTTGATTAAATAGGAGAAATGAAAAGATTGTCAGACCAGTAACAATCTGCGAGACAAAAGAGACCTACACAGAGGTCTGGGAGAAAGTCATCATTCACCATTGTCATATGGGTTCATGGGTGAATGAATCACTCAGGGAGAGACACACACACTGGCCGCTGACTCTATCCATATAGCAGGGTTTCCGTTAAGAAAATATGGCACCCGGACAATGTGACCGGCAAGAATTGAATTTACCAGACATTTGAGAAGTTTACCGAACATCCATATGCATCCACCCACGGTGCTCAAAATCACATTTAGATTATTGTAATTCATCTTAACAGAATATAAATTCGCCTGTAAAGTTGTAATAAAATGAAGTAGAACGATGTTCTTATACCAACATGACAGGTTTTATTGAAAAGCAAGAAATTGCCTGTTGAGTCTTCATCCCTGCTACAAATCATAAATGAATTTGGGGCACAGAACAGGGGTTCCCAACATTTTTCACTCAGGCCCTCTTCCAGCTTTGGGAAACATCTCACGCTTGGGTGGCATACTGTATATAGCGGGTTTTTTGTAAATAGCCACAGGATGGTTTTTCCAATACCGTCAAAACTATTTATTTGAAGTTTTTCCAATACATGTTCATATGTGTAGCTACTTTTAATTAACATACCTGCAGTCAACTTGTGCAATACGTTAGGAGATAAAGCAGATCACGTTATTCATGTCACCTGTCTCATTCATTTACATTATGAAGCTTACTATAGTTCCCTAGAACAGTTGAGCCAGTCACATGTCTGTTTGTAAATAGCACAAATGTAATCTTGTATATCTTGTACCGGAGAAAAGTAGGCTGGCTACACCGAGAAAAGTACAGAAGGAAAAGTCGCTACACATCAGTCAGAGCACGGTCTGCTGATAGAATGCCCGTTCGTGAATTCAACTGAGTGGAGAAGTGCAACTGAAGCAACAATTTAGTCTAATGCCGAGCAGAAATGACAATAAGAAGCATCTTAGATCTGCGTTTACAAAATGCAGCAAGAGATCTTATGCGTTCTCCTTTTTTCCTGCGTAAAATATGACGAATTCTGAAATTAATGCGACCCCTAAGTTTAACTTCCTACTTATCTAAGTTACTGAATTAATAAGGTGACGGGTCATCATATTGTGTAAGCTTCTGCCATGTTTGAGAAGTCAAAACCCTTTGGATGAGTTATCTGTACAGCTGCCACTGCTATCTTTTGATTTCTTACCTTTTTCTCCTCTTCGTTCTTGGCCAGTCTGCTCTCCTCCCCCATCTTCTCCTAGCAGAGCATGCAGGCCCACTGCCCTAGCGACTCCAGATTCTTCCTTCGTTCATTTGCACGTCTCTCATTCACATCCGCTTGTAAACATCCAAAATGACATTAGATACCTCCTACCTATGTATAACTTCATGAGCTGATTTGCCGGTCTTTGCAATTTGTTTATTTTTGTTTGCGCTCGTTAGCATATTTAGCCAGCAGCCTCCATGGAAATTCGCTATTATTTCTGCACATTTTGTTAGCATTCTAGTAACAGACGCCCCCTTGTGTACTAAGCCTGTAATACCGTAAATCCCGGGATGAGAGAATGACGGTATGAAAATCTCGAAATCGACCAACTCGACCGTTCATGGAACAAACCCCTCTTGTTGGCGGAGAGAACATTTAGCAGGTTTAAAGCTTATTTCCTGCAATTCTACACATTTTGTCATGGGGTGCAGATAACATGTTTGCCATTTTGAAGCTAATTTTCTTGCAATTCTATACATTCTGCCATGTCTAATGTGTATTCATGTGATATTTGAGTGAATCAAATATTACAACAAAATCTATGGGCTAAAAAACGTTAGCCGACATGGGCTAGTTGAGCTGGACATTTCTGACAAGTTATAAATAGCTCTCTAAGGTATGCAATGACATGCCAAGAGGAAAACTGATGATTCACTACGTAATTTTGAAATTGCACCTTGTGCATTCTACTATTACACCTTTCAAGAGTAAGGGTGTTTTCACATATAGTCCTCTTTAAAATAACCCATCTCAGTTCTCTTTAAAGTAAAAACTAAATAACTCAGTTCTCTTTGTATTCACACTGCCCTTTGTTACAGGCTTTGGTTTTTCCATTTATGTATTGAGGTTGGACTTTAGCACGTATAGTTCGTAAGGCACACCGATTGGTGTCACCTCGTTAGTCAGTATGTGTTACACCTGTGCTGGTTGCCATCTTGTTTAGTGGGAAGGTGTTTCATCTGTGCTGGGCCAGGTGCTATTTAAGAGTGGCTGGCCAGTGCTCCAGTTGTCTTGATAGATGCGGAGGGTTAACACCTTTAGTTGGCTCTCCCTATTTTTATTTCTAGACAAACAATCCTTAAACTGATTTCCCTGATTTAGTTTTGCGCCACCTTTTGGGTTCACTTCCTGTCTTTAAGTTTGTTGTGGGTTTTAATTTTGTTTGCCTGTTAGTGGGCAAATGTAGTGGGTAGGTAGGTAGGTGTCTTTTAGGTTCCAATTGTTGTTGCACACACACGTGTCTTTCAGACCCCTTCCTAAAACCCTGCCTATTTCGTTTTGGTTGTTGGTCAGTGACTCTTTGTTAGTTCCCCCTTCTGTTTGTGCGACATTTTTGGTTTTCTTGCTGGGGAACGTAACACCTTGCCTTTGAATGAGGACTCAACTTTTTTGCCAGTTCACATCACCTTTTTTTTTAGGTCCGAGTCCTCTTTGCATTCACATTGCTATGTTTAGAAAGGAACCAAGATCTTTTTCCAACATTCACTCAATGCACTCTGTGTTTTTACAAAGTGCAGGATGCAGGACAAGGCATTCCATCTATACCTACTTACATTTTGGAAGCTAATAGATTGCATTTAGTTAAAAGACAGACCATGTAATCAAAAGATAGAAGCTAACTGCAGATTAAATAATGCTGTAATTGAAAATTGTACACCCAATGTAGGCTACTGCCCCATTAAGAGATAGAATTGATTATGTACCCTACGTTGTTGTTTTCTCACACTATTCAAACACCACAATTGAATAAATCAGCAAACGAAGCTCTCAATTTATAGATCACATATTGTAAACAAATAATCTTAACTAAAAACATTTTGGAAAACACAATTCAATGATATGTACGCTAGCTGTGTTTTCTGCAAACTATTCAAATCACCCAATGTGAAGTTATGCAGAAACTGTCAATTTATGTGTGGTCCATTGAAAGCATTTGTGTAACTAAAAAACTTCAAGCCCGAACTCCACCTTTCGAGATGGTCTCAGTTCAGTGGAGCTTTGCAGCTTCAGGTTATCTTTGGTCTCTTTGTTGCCTCTCTGATTAATGCCCTCCTTGCCTGGTCCGTGAGTTTTGGTGGGCGGCCCTCTCTTGGCAGGTTTGTTGTAGTGACATATTCTTTGCATTTTTTTAATAATGGATTTAAAAATGGTGCTCCGTGGGATGTTCAAAGTTTCTGATATTTTTTTATAACCCTGATCTTGTACTTCTCCACAACTTTGACCCTGACCTGTTTGGAGAGCTCCTTGGTCTTCATGGTGCCGCTTGCTTGGTGGTGCCCCTTGCTTAGTGGTGTTGCAGACTCTGGGGCCTTTCAGAACAGGTGTATGTATATATACTGAGATCATGTGACAGATCATGTGACACTTAGTTTGCACACAGGTGGAATTTAACTAATTATGTGACTTCTGAAGGTAATTGGTTGCGCCAGATCTTATTTAGGGGCTTCATAGCAAAAGGGGGTGAATACATATGCATGCACCACTTTTCCGTTATTTATTTTTTATACTTTTTTGAAACAAGTTATTTTTTTAATTTCACTTTCCCAATTTTGACTATTTTGTGTATGTCCATTACATGAAATCCAAATAAAAATCCATTTAAATTACAGGTTGTAATGCAACAAAATAGGAAAAACGCCAAGGGGGATGAATACTTTTGCAAGGCAGTGTAAGTAAGCATTTTACTGTTAGTCTATATCTGTTGTCTACGAAGCATGTGACAAATAACATTTGATTTGATTTGACTGACCTGGACAAATACACACAGAAAAAGGAGGGGAAGACAGAGACACACACAGAGTTGTTCCTGGGCATCGCCAGCAGTCATACTTTGGTATATCTGATTCCTCATCATGCAATATAAATGAATCTGCGCCCAAAACATAAAATAATCAATCCCTTTCCAAAACACTGGCCAAAAATGAGCAAAACGCTCGAAAAACAGATTACTGACAGATCCTGGCATGCTGGACTCAACCAAGGCCATTTGTGTCCATTTTTGACCAGACACACCATTTGGGCTTTTCCAAATATAGACCCCTTTGTCTGATTCTCAGTCTAGAATAAATAATGCCCTCATCCATGTCCTCTCCCTTTTTCTATCTTTTTTCTGTCTCTCCTTTTCTCTGTCCGTCATGTTTTTTTTAACCTTTCCATTTCTCTTCCTCATCCCTCCCTCCCCCTCCGTCCTGTAGCCCGCCTTCCCCTCGTCTCTCTGTAATGACAGCGGTCCTGGCAGTGAGTTCTCCACACTGAGCAAGCTCCGTAGAGGCCCTGTAATTAGCATCTCTTCTCTGCTCTCCAGAAATATCTCCATGACCCCCAGAACACACCGGGCCTGTGCGTGCATGTATGTGCCTGTGTAGGCCTACTGTACATACTTGTGCATGTGTGTATACAAGCAAGAGAGGGATAGAGGTACAGAAAGAGGCCACGATTTAGTTGCACAGCAGCACAGTTGAAAGTGTGCGCGCCGACATTCCAACAGAACATGCTATCCTCTGACTGTGTATGTGTGTGTGCGTGTCTTGTGGTCCACACAGTTGCTGAGGGGACTGGGGGAAGCCTATGCTAGTGTGCGTAAAGCAGCACAAAGGCTAGGCACTCTCCCCTTCTGTCTCGGACTCCATTGTCCCACTACTAGAGGGGTGCTGTGTGAACAATGGATTGGGGAGGGGTGAGTGGGGGAGTGATCCTCTGCGTCCCTGCACTCCCCCCCCAATAAATCCCTCCTCTCCCCCACTACCCCCCCCCCCCATCTCTGGCCAGGATCGACACTGCGCTATCACACCCCAGAGCTTTTGTCCTGCTGTAGGGCCCTATACATTCATTTAAATGTTTAGCCCAAATTCCGTTTTGGTTTTCCAGGTTTCCATTTGTTCCTCTCCAAATCACACTTTTATAATAGAAAAACAACTAAATTGGATGTTCTACGTCAACAAGAACGCTAAAATCACATCTGGAGTCCACTTTTGGTTGTAGTTACCCTTTAATGCAAGTGTACACCATTAGCGGTGTTTCTGTAGCACTCATGTGATTGCAGAAATAGCTAAACAAATGGCCACTGCACTGATTCAAATAATCATGATATTATTCTGCCAGGTAGGCATAGGCTACTGTGTAGTTAACATGGAATTGGAGGTTGTAGGGAAAGCCTTTCCATCTACCAGCAGACGGTTATCATTAGCATCATCATGGCTACACAAAGAGTAGACTAGACATACGTGCCCAACGCACGCACACAACACATACAGACAGGGGCATTCCTGTGCCGTTTCAGAAAAATACGAATCACTGATGCATTTTGTTAATATCTTATTATTAACTTGGGCAAATTAATGAATTGTCTATATTAAGTTCACTACATTTAGTTGACAGTGAGCATTGAAATGTCCAGCATCCGACTGGCCTTCCAGAGCAGAACAGAGCTGGAGAGGGAGAGAACTAGCCAGGGCAACGGAGGAGATCTAAGGCCAAGTCTTTTGGAACAGGGTTCCCTGGAGACCAGAGATGGAAGTATTGAGTTTACTCAAGTCGCTACTCGCTAACATGACCAAAACAGAAAAGCTATCTACGGAACAAATGGATCACAGTGTGACAGCGTGCAGACTAGCAAAGATTAGCCCGAAACACCAAGACACACACACACACACACACAAACCCACTGTAGCGTGTAACCATCACAGTTACACACACCATATAGGCTAGCATGTAACTACACTAATCTATAGGCACTTTAAAAGCTCAGTTGACCTTGCTTGACCTCATACTGCGTAACCATGGTGACGATGCAGGTCATTTGATGGGCTTAACACCAAGATCACATGATTGGCCCTCGAACCCCAACAGACTGGGGAAGAAAAAAATCTTGACAAATGAGCTAGCTTGGTCCAATACCTTTTGGCTCTGACACAGTCCATACGCTAATTTAATCCACAGCCTAGTCCTAAATCATGTTAAACAACTAAGCTAACGTGGCTCAATAGGTCTACATCTGTCTCTGACACAGACACAGGCCTACTCACATTACAATCAATACACTAAATAATACAGCCTACATAACTAATCAACATTTTCCAACTGTCAAGGACTGTGTTATGCTATTCTAAAACACATATTAGTTGACAAGGGGTTAGCCTAATTAGACAGAATTACAGAATTCTATGGTTAATTATAGGTTGACGAGTGTAGTGAAAAAAACTACCCTCATGTATCTGAAATTACATGATCAATTGATGTTTACTGATCATGAAAAGCATGCTGTTACTTGCTGTATAACTTACTACATTTGCACACACTGTATATAGATTTTCTATTGTGTTATTGACTTTACTTTTTGTTTATTCCATATATAACTGTGTTGTTGTTTTTTCCGCACTGCTTTGCTTTATCTTGGCCAGGTCGCAGTTGTAAATGAGAACTTGTTCTCAACTGGCTTACCTGGTTAAATAAAGGTGAAATAAAAAATTAAATAAAAAAATAACTACGATAAAGCTAAATGTGCGCAATTGTTTTGCATGAAATTTGTAGTTCTGACTATGCTCTTCAAGAGGTGATGATATTACAAGCAAAAAGTTAACATTTATTTAACAATGCCTTAAACAGCACGTAGTTGTCAATGGTTTTAGCGGAGCTGGGGGTCTGCTTGCCCCCAGCAAACGCTCTGCACCATATTGTGACATTTTATTGATAACGACCTATACAAAGGCAGCCATTGCAAGTGTACCCATGAATTTACCACTCAAATTGCCAGGGTTAGAGGTTCCAAGCACGTTCTATTCATAATTTTTCTATGGCCTAGCCTGTCAAGTTACAGCCAAAAACAACTTTCAAATTTGTACAGTATTTGCTTCATTGAAATGACCGGAGGTTGGGGAAGGATGTAGGCTAGCATACAAATAGAAGGAACATGACTATTCTTAATTGATATGACAATAGTTGAGTGTTACAACTAGTTACAGTTATTAGGCTAGCTAGGCTAAGTGTTCTTGAGCATCCTATGGTTATTGGTATGTCTTATTGAATTGGAAGTTATGCCCACTGCCATCATACCACTTCACAGCAAAATTCAAATAGACTTCATCACTGAAATAACTGTAAGTGGCTGTAAGTGTCAAAACAAATACTCAATCCATTTCAAAACCTTTTAAGCTTAAAGCAGGTATCCGCAGGTCAAGGGCACCCCCATGCCGCTTCTTGTATTGCGGTTTCACTTTTAATAAAAACAAGGGGGTTGAGCTCTGAGCCGCCTTGGGCTGGCCTTCTGGGCAATGGTGTGTCTTTGCTCCAAATCATACCTACTCGAGCGACCCTGCTGCACCATGGCCCCGGAGCTGGAGAGGAAGTAACTTGTAAGAAATAAACACAGAGCCGACGAAGCCAACAAGCTAGCTAACTTGTTTGCAGATAAACTGTCCTGGTAGCAGAGACAACATTTTCAGAAAATGTCGACATAAACAAGCATCATTCTCAGTTTTTGGATCTGAATCAATTAGATCCCAAATAAATAAATAAAATATCCAGAAACTGGATAAACATTGGAATTAATTTTGAAAGGTGGAAGAATGACGCCGAAATGGCCACCATTCTCATGGACTGATAGGTAAGTGTTGGGTTGCATTTCTAGCCTGCTAGCTACATTACCTGCTAACCTTAGTGTGTTCAATGTTCAAGCTAGCTAACATGGCTACTTAGCTAGCTAACATCTTCTGTATTCGGACTGTTTTGTAACGTTAATCTAACGATAGCTACATCATGTAGCTACACTGCATAAACCCCACAAGATGCTCAATGCCTTTATTTCAACTAGCTAATGTTAGCTAGACATGCTGATTGTTGACATGATATTGTGTTTGGTTTGTAGACGATAATTCTAGCTAGCTAGGCGGTCGACATCATTTGTCTGAGCACCACCCAAAAAAATGCATCTAGCTATAACATTTGGTACAGTAACATCACAACAAACATGTATTTCTCAGGGAGATACTGGTGGAGAGTCTGATTTTGACAGAACCTGAGGTTGTAGTAAGGCCGGGACGATAGCAGTATCGCGATACCCGTTAGTATCGTGGCAAGGAAACAAAACACAATCCGGATTTAACTTCTTTAGGAAAACAGCCTTTATGTTGGAAACAAACATCATTATGTTGTCATCCAGAGTCACCTTTATTTATTTTCCAAGCTATAGCACACAATATTTTACATAAAGAGTTTAGTCTGCTTTTGTTTTCATTTCTGCCATGGAAAAAATATTGCGATTTTGGTATTGTCACAGCCCTAGGTTGCAGTAGTTGTGGAAAAATCAACACCAAAAGAGAGGTAAAAAAATGCAATGGAATTTGTTATGCTTTGTGATTCAATCATTATTTGGTTGGTAATCGATCAAAATAGTTAGCTACATGAAGCTGTTTGCCTGTTCAGCACATTGCCTATATAGCACTTTACTTCTCATTATTTCAATTCATAAGATAGAATGAACGCACGCCATTGAGAATTGAACCTCTGTAGCAGAGCCGTAAGGATGCATTGCTGTCATACCGGCTCTGATTACCTCCTAGTAAGGGGTGAACCAGGAACCAGGAGCAGCACATAACAGTTTTAGGCCTGGAGGTGTGGGAACTGGCAACAGGGTCGTCATTCCAAGCTGCTGTTTGTGGTGAGTACTGGCTCTTTCTGTGATCCGCTGGGGCACCATGTAGGCTTTTTTCTTGGGAGCTGGTAGCCAACTGTATATATGTCTAAGAAGTGCGGATTCCATCTTAACATATTAGGCTAACAAACAACCCCCTCTCTAAACTGATTGTTTGGACAAAGAGGTTTAAAAACTCTGGGATATGGATGAGGGTTTGGTCTCAGGCATCACGGAGACCTCAATTAACATCAAATAAAGTATTATTTGCCTTTAAGCTGTGTAACATAATGACACGTCTACAGTCTCTGAAGTTGCTACACAATGTATCCGACTCATATTTGGGCAGCTGATGAGACAAAGTGACAAAGTGAGAGAGTGAGTGAGTGAGCGAGACCACCTGCCAATCTCAGATCCTCTCCGCGCACTCCTCCCATCCCCCTCTCACAGATGAAAGGGTGATTACTCAAAGCTGATTAGCCAGAACAGACTTAGATACACAGCATGAGAGCATGACTCAGTGAGTGTAAGTGCATGTGTTTGTGCATGCATCCATGTGTGCGGGTAGGTAGACCTACATCTGCGTACGTGTTTGTGCAAATGTCTGCACGTGTCGGTCTTTGCTTCAATTACTGTGCATACGCATGAGTGTCGTCTGATCTGAGGTGTGTGTACGTGTGTTTGTAGGGCTGGCACAATTAACGTATAACAGTGCAACCGACGGTTATGGATGAAGACAGTCATAAAAATAATTCGTGCAGTGAAGTCAGTTTCTGCGGTAACATGGACATTTTTTTTATTTTATTTTTTATTTTTTTTAGTCATTTAGCAGACGCTCTTATCCAGAGCGACTTACATATATGAATACATATATGAATACATATATGAATACATATATATATATATACATATACATATACATATACATATATACATATATATATATATATATATATATATTTTTTTTTTTATACTGGCCCCCCGTGGGAATCGAACCCACAACCCTGCCGTTGCTCTATCAACTGAGCTACATCCCTGCCGGTCATTCCCTCCCCTACCCTGGACGACACTGAGCCAATTGTGCGCCGCCCATGAGTCTCCCGGTCACGGCCGGCTACGACAGAGCCTGGATTCGAACCAGGATCTAGTGGCACAGTTAGCACTGCGATGCAGTGCCTTAGACCACTGCGCCACTCAGGAGACTCATGAGACACTTAACGTGATTCAACTTTGTTGCTCCTTGCTGAAACAAGCAAGGTGTTGTAGCATACAAGTCTTTGGTTGCCACAATGCAGCAGCAGCATACATTGAAATAGAATGACTAAAATGGGTTTGGAACCTCTAACCCTGGCAATTTGACTGGTAAACTCAAGGGCACACTCAATGGTTGCCTGGTATTGTGATGCAATAATTCAAATGATGTTAACTGATGTGGCTAATGCAATGGAATGTATTTCTTGTAATGTCAGTTGAGTAGAATGAACAAATCACAGCACATATTCATGGGTACACTTCCTGTTTTTACTTCCTGCTTCGCTCCTATGGGTAAACTCTCATTGGCCGCCAGTCCACCCATTATGTAATCATTGACTTGAATGGGGACGCCCGTTCTATTTCTATGGCAGCACATGCAGTCAGGAGTAGAGGAGAGGAACATGTGTGTGGCTGGCCAATCACCCTAAATTCCATGACCGTCATAGCCCTGTGTGTGTGTGTGTGTGTGTGTGTGTGTGACCTCAGCATGCTCATGCTGGCCCTGTCCATGATTAAGGAGAAAGAGCGTTGAGTCCAAATACGTCAGGACAGCAAAGCAATGTGATTTACTCTCTATCCCACAGCCAAGAAACTTCTCACTCCACTCAACCCTCAGCATGACACTGAAATCCAAGAAAATAGGGAACCGGGGCCTCTCATAATAACGAAAACTACAGTATGGCCTTTTCATCTGATCTTACGTTACAATCACCATCATTACAATGATTCCAGACTGTCTTCTCTCCAACCCCCATCCCATTCACACCCTTTCCTTCACCGTACAGCAGCCTGTATGCATCAGGGGAAGAGCGAGCGAGAGAGAGAGAGTGCCCCGCTCAGGAGTGCTATTATATGATCTGCTGCTGTTGTGTTTACCTTGTTTGTGTCAAACGTTGCCAATGACAATATCAGCCCTC